TGATTTCACTTTAAATTACTTTAGTCCTTGACGGAAGCACAAATAACTGTTGTAGAAGCATAAATAAACCCTAAATTTTAAAATTGAGTCATTTGAGCAGCCATAGTTATCTACAACTGGCAAAAGGTCAAGGTTAATTAATATGCACATCGTATTTTAAGACAGTATTTAAAAAAATGGCTTTTTCACTCACAATGGATTTTATTTAAACCATTTCCAAGGATAAAAGTGGAGATAGTGATTAGTTATCAAGTAAAACCTGATCCTGATCCCTATTTTACTAAACCATTTTTCCACAATAAGTAAAATAATTGAATTTCATAAAAAAAAAAAATGAAGAACAAAATTTATTGAATAAAAATCTTGAATACTCTCCCCCTTTTTTCATACCCACAATTTCCATACTTGGTAGACATGTTGATGATCATCAATACTTGATTGTATCTGAGTGTGAAGTATCTACTTTACCTATCTGTCTGTTTACATATACCTTATCATAGGTATTTCATCTCCATATCAATGAGTTGTATAGATTTAACCACCTGTAAACTTACACATGCTTTTACCTGTCAATCAAGGGCTCTTTACTGCATGTTTCATTTGTTTAAAAGTTTTAAGTAGAACTTTTCACATTATTAAGACATTTTTATTAACGTCAGAGAATCAGAGAAGTGGCTAATGTCTTCAGTTTACATTTGTATATATGCATTAAATTTATTGAATTTAAATCTGTTCTTTTCCAAGTTTTGTAATTATTTTTTTTACATTCATTTTAAAAGTGAATTATACATCTCATTCCCCCTTTTTGTACACATAATTGCAAATATATCACAGAGTGGTCAGTGGTGATAGTTTTGTTTATACCCCACCCACCTTTTTCTACCCCTTGGACATTTGAAATTCTAACCAAAATCATATGAGTTTCTGTTTTACTTAAGTTTGCAATGTAAATAGGTTGTCTCAGTGAAACCTTAATTTTGTATACTAGAACAAATTCTTGACACAAAAAGTTTAAGTTACTTATTAGCCAAAATAGATTGAAACTAAACTGAATAACATAAAAGTATTTGTACATTTCTTCATTCCCAACATATTAGTGACTAAATATTTTATTGCAGTAGTATTAAAGAAGATATATATTGAGTAAAAACCAATATTATATTATATGGTAAGGTCACAATCATCAATTTAATCTAAAAAAAAATAGTTGAAGGAGTAAGTTCTCTTCCGTAAGAACCCAGTTTTAAGCCAAAATTTAAATCCATTTTTTCAAAAATAATTAGTGTTTTCAGTTGATGAAAAGACAGGAGGGTTTGGATGGGGGTTAACAGAATAGAGAATAATGGGCTGAAAATATAAAGAATAGAGAAAAATGGACCAAAAACATAAGGAATAGAAAATAATGGGATATTAAAATATAAAGAATAGAGAATAAAGGGCAAAAAATATAAAGAATAGAGAAAAATATAAAGAATACAGAAAAGAAGGATCGCTCATCCATACCCTCAGATATGTAAGAAAGTGAAATAAATTTTGTTGAGCTTTTCTTATAAAACCTTGACAAACTTGTCTAAATTTTACCAACATTTAGGTCTAGGAAATACAGAGTGCAGGGGTTGACAAACTAAAAATTCAAGTCAGATAGGTAACTTGTTATTTAAAATGTTAAATGATTACTGGTATTTTTTTTCAACAAATGTGCTATTTGTTTTTGCTCCTAAAATCATTGAAAAATGACCTGTTTTCCTTGATGTTTTGGAAATTTAAATTTTGTGGTATTAAGTGATATCATGAAAAGAATGCTATATGTAAATTTTTAATAAAAAGACAGTTTTCCTATCTAGTCATTGTTTTAGCAATGATTCATTGTCAGTGATTGTGATAATTGCAAATAAATGGTAATTTGAAATAAGGTAGAAATTGGGAGTTAAATTATATGGAACCTACTCATTTTAGAATGCAAATATCTAGATTTACACATCTTTAAGTGAAGATATATTATAAAAGAGTGGAGAGATATTATAAATATCACCAACCACAGTAAGATAATCTGTATTTCTCTAATTCTTTGACAATTTAACCTTTTCTGGACCCATTGTATAAACAAAATTAATCATATGGTTGCAAATGATCTCAGAAGATGATTGGCTGACAGTTTAAGGGTCATAATCTCAATTCCCTGAGGCTCTGACTTTAGAATTTGATAATTCAACTATCTTAGAGATATAAGAAGATGTAGTATGAGTGCCAATGAGACAACTCTCCATTCAAGTCACAATTTGTAAAAGTAAACCATTATAGGTCAAAGAACGGTCTTCAACACAGAGCCTTGGCTCACACTGAACAGCAGTCTATAAAGGGCCCCAAAAATGACTAGTGTAAAACCATTCAAACAGCAAAACCAACGGTCTAATCTATATAAAAAACGAGAAACAAGAAACACTTATTAACCACATCAACAAACGACAACTACTGAACATCAGATTCCTGACTTTAGGACAGGTGCAAACAAATATCAATTGAAATGGCTTAACTCAATCAAAAGACATATTAACACAAGTGAACATACACTGTACAAATAAATTTGATCTATGATACAATGTAAATACAAAATCAATAAAATAAGGGCAACAGTAGTATACCGCTGTGAGATGTTAAACAATTTCAAAAAAACAACAACAACCTTGAACAAAAAGCTGCCAAATACAATTATATACACAGGTAAATGAAAATAATTTTGTTGTAAGGTATACAGTTTAATGGAGAACGGAAATTTATATTTTTTACAAAATGAATAATTTTGTTGTTCATACCAGTAGTAGGAAGAAGGGAAAATTTATAGTCATACCAAACACTTATCAAAGCTGCCGGTATATAGATGAGATATAACCTTGAATAAGTAAATATTAAATAACAAAAAAGCATTACAAATAGTAAACATAATAATAAACAGGTCAAATTAACAAGAAAGTATGATTTGAGAGTACTCACGGTTACTGAAAGCTAGTTAAAAGCCAAAAATGATTAATATTAAAAATCATGCATCAGACTGAAATCAACTAAAACACATCCCAGGGATTTAGTATTTTAACGTCATGGGCAGTCAAAGAAGACATGACTTGTGCAATGCCAAACATAAATGTATCGACAGGCAGTAGGATAGTTAGGAGTTAACCTCTTCATAGAAAAAAATGAATGTGGATGTGTCTTTATACATCCCATTTGAAAAGAATACAAATTTAGTTATGTTTTAATTTGCTGATGACAAAATCGATATTTGTGCCAATGTAAACTATATTCAAAGATCTAATTACAACATTGGTAAGATAACCTTTACTAATAAGTTTGTTTCTTTATTGGATAAATCCAATTATCCACTGGTACCAATGTAAGAATCTATTTTTCTCCCTTTGTAGGACTCTAAGTTTAACATTGGTAAAATTAATGATATTCTTAACCTGTACAAATTAATATTATACTTTTAAATTTCCTTTTGATATTTCTATATGAAAATTTTACTGTCTCATGCTACCCAACTATTGAACTAAATGGTTTTTCGTGAGTTAAGTACAGTGAGAATGCAATGATGTCATCAGCCAACTTCACTGATGTTGACGAGGAAAATAGCGATAAACAGATTATCGATTGTTTTTCAAACTTGAGGAGGTTTCTCTGTTACTGTGGATTCATTTTCATGGATTTACTATGCGGTATGGGTTTTACTCGTTGTTGAAGGCCGTACGGTGACCTACAGTTGTTAATTTCTGTGTCATTTGGTCTCTTTGGAGAGTGTTGTCTCATTAGCAATCGATACCACATCTTCTTATTTTTATATTATATTTTTATGGATGTTTGGTCTCATAGTTTTTGTCGAGCCTGCGACTTTTGTCGCAGAAAGCTCGACATAGGGATAGCGATCCGGCGGCGGCGTTAGCTAACTTCTTAAAAGCTTTATATTTTAGAAGATGGAAGACCTGGATGCTTCATACTTTGTATATGGATGCCTCATGTTACGAAGTTTCAGTCAGTCACATGTCCAATGTCCTTGACCTCATTTTCATGGTTCAGTGACTACTTGAAAAAAAAGTTCAGATTTTTTGTAATGTTAAATTCTCTCTTATTATAAGTAATAGGATAACTATATTTGGTATGTGCGTACCTTGCAAGGTCCTCATGCCCGTCAGACAGTTTTCACTTGACATCGACCTCATTTCATGGATCAGTGAACAAGGTTAAGTTTTCGTGGTCAAGTCCATATCTCAGATACTATAAGCAATAGGTCTAGTATATTCGGTGTATGGAAGGACTGTAAGGTGTACATGTCCAACTGGCAGGTATCATCTGACCTTGACCTCATTTTCATGGTTCAGTGGTTATAGTTAAGTTTTTGTGTTTTGGTCTGTTTTTCTTATACTGTATGCAATAGGTCTACTATATTTGGTGTATGGAATGATTGTAAGGTGTACATGTCTAGCTGGCAGGTGTCATCTGACCTTGACCTCATTTTCATGGTTCAGTGGTCAAAGTTAAGTTTTTGAGTTTTGGTCTTTTTTTCTAATACTGCATGCAATAGGTCAGCTATATTTGGTGTATGGAATGATTGTAAGGTGTACATGTCTAGCTGGCAGGTGTCATCTTACCTTGACCTCATTTTCATGGTTCAGTGGTCAAAGTTAAGTTGTAATAAAGCTTTATATTTAGGACTATCAACATAATATCAATGATTAGTAAAGAAGGCGAGACATTTCAGCGTGTGCACTCTTGTTGTTGAAGTCTCAGCCTACAATTAAGCCTATACAAAATTAAAACATTGAACATTTAAAATTGTGATTCATGATGATTTACCCATCATGCAAAGCCACGAAAATTGATATCCCATGAATGATAATGGATCCACGATATATATCATATGAGGGCTGTCCTTTTTAAGAAACCATGGATATAAATCTATAATTATACATATTATAAATCATTATGAATTCTCAAATATTATTTTTCAGATCATTAACAGGAAAAGATTCTTTCCACGAAAAAGAAGTGACTCTGTGCAACACTATCACTGATGAACATATCATTAAATTGGATGTGCTGTGTTTGAACTATTTATTGTCTGGTCATAAATGACAACATACAACAATGTACATGGATTCAACAAAAATAGTGATAAGACAACAAAAACTGATGATGAGACAACAAAATTTGAGAATAAGACAATTGATGATGAGACAACATATACTGATGATGTGAAAACCACAAACTGATGATCACACAACATTAACTGCACAAACTGATGATGTGAAAACAAAAAATTATTATTAATAGACAAAAAATATTAATAAATGAAACCAAAAATATGATAACTAGGCCAATGAAAGCAAAATCCATGAAATCTAATTAATCAAGAATTGAAACTGTTGAGCTGAGACAAAAGCACATATTTGCAGATTAAAATATACAGGTGTAAATAAAATTTCTTATATTTTTATGCACCCGTCATTGATGGTAAAATTACCACTGTTTGTCCATTCACATGTGGCACAAAAACTAGAGAATGATTTGATCATACATCATAAAACTTGTATGGTATATTGGAGTTGGTGGAAGAAAACTCCCTTTTGATTTTGTAAATTTTCTGGTCTGTCATTCTAGGGATGTGTCGGATAAAAGTAAATTTTTCACATGTTGTACCATAACTTGAGTATGCTTTGATGGAATTACTGGAACTTAAAATTGGTTAAAGTAAGGTACCTTTTGACTTTGAAAATTTTAATTTGTCATTCCAGAATTATTTTACTTTAATTTTCAGATTTTATGCATTTTTTTTTAAATGTTACACACTAACCATAGTATGCTTTGATAAAAATTATTAGAAACTTTACACTGCTGTTGGGATTGGTGAATGTAGCCTCATTTTTTATTTTGAAAATTTTCTGGTTTGTCATTCATTAATGAACTTTTTATTGTCATATTTAAGGCAATATTTATATACATGTACCTAAGTACATCCCCATACAAGTTTTTTTACAGAGCTAAATTGTACAACCTTATTTTGAGGTCACCATCAATAAATTTTGATCTGACAGCCACTCAAAACCGTATGGCAGAAATGTTATCATAAAGAATTGAACACAAGTAATTGTAGGCAGAACATAAATATATATGTGAATAAAAGGAGAAAAGGGGCATACGTCAAAGAGACAGGAACCAAAGGTCAAAAGTAACCAAAAGACGTCTAGAGGTCAACATGCAGTCTGTAATGATAGACAGGTGTCCATACAATATGTCAAGTTCTAAATCTCATTCAGAGGCAGATTTAGAGGGGTGCCTTATGGAGCTTCATTTATGGTTAATCCAGACTTTTCACTGGTTCCACTACAAATTTTGTCTAGTTTGCCCCCCACCCTTTTCAAAATCCTAGATCCACATCTGTCTTTCAATTAGTCAGTTTTTGTCTCGCTTTGACAAAAAGCCAGACTTAGGTATGCTGTTCCCAACAGGGGTGGTGGCATCAACAATGTATTAGTTTGAGATTAGGTCAGTTTATGAGGAACCAATAGTGGGAGGTCAATGAAATTTAGTATGCAGTTGTATTAGCATTGGCACATCTCATTTCCATGGAGATTATTTGACCCCACCCCCTCATGATTCATTGACTTTGAAACCATTTCATTGTTTACAAGTTAAAGTTTGTGTTTAGGTTAGTTTTACTGTATTATATAGGGAACTCCTTATGATAAGTCAATGGTATTTGGGTATACAGTTTTATAATAATTGGCATACCTCTGTGTCAACAGTTTATTAAAAAGTTGTGAACAAATCTGAATGTAAACAGAAATCATCAAAGCTATGGTATAGGACAACTTCTAACAAGATTCCTCCTATCAGATAGGTTATGTAGGTTAAGGTCAGTCGGGAGGTCACCTAGAACTGTATAACAATCACAAATACAGACGAAGAGGCATAAAACCAACAATAAACATTCAGGAATCATTTTGGGTAAAAAAAACGTAAATGTTGGTCAGACAGCTCCCAAAAATAAATTTACTTGTGACAACCAAAAAAATATCCTATTAATTACTTTCCGCTATAATATCATTTCCTCTCGCTGAATAATCCAAAGTTTAACGACTATGTTGATGGTATCTATCACATCAACTAATGTGGTTCATATGTCTTTCTCGTTTCTCGTATTTTATATAGATTAGACTGTTGGTTTTCCTGTTTGAATTGTTTTACACTAGTCATTTTTGGGGCCCTTTTATAATAGCTTGCTGTTCAGTGTAAGCCAAGGCTCCGTGTTGAAGGCCGTACTTTGACCTATAATGGTTTCCTTTTACAAATTGTGACTTGGATGGAGAGTTGTCTCATTGGCACTCATACCACATCTTCTTATATCTATTGACAGTTAAGTTAGGGTCAGTTGAGGACTAACTATACAAGGCACTGACGAACATACAAGAACTTCAGTACTTGTATGAAAATACAAATATTATGAAAATAGAAGACTTGGTATGATTGCAAACTATCCACCAGAGTTTAAATGATGTGGATATAAATCATTATAAGTCACCCTACAGCCTTCAACAATGAGAAAAACCCATATCGTATAGACAGCTATAAAAGGCCCTGATATCAAAAATGTGAAACAATTTTATAAAAAGGAAAACAAAGGGTTTGATTAACAATACAATTTACTAAAAACAAATGTGACAGACATGAACCAACGACAACCACTGGATGACAGGCTCCTGACTTGGGGCAGGTATATAAAGAAAGTTTTCTTGAAATTTGCTGTTATAAAATTTTGGAAATGGAAAGTATCTCTTCATGAACAGCTCTGTATAAATAAGAAGATGTGGTATGAGTGCCAATGAGACAACTCTCCATCCAAGTCACAATGTATAAAAAGTTAACAATAATAGGTCAAAGATTCCTTTTTCAGGTTTGGCTTTACTTTTGGTCCTTTTTGCTTTTGTCTTAGACTGTCCCTGGTCTGGAACTATTATACTAACTTAGTCCAACAATTTGTCAGACAAAATCATTTAATTAAGCAGAGTATGCTTATATAATCCGAAATGCAAAAATAAGATGCCAAATAAGCTCTATAGTTAAAGGAAATTCCCTAAGAAAGACACACAATGAGGTTGAGAATCAGTAAGGTAGGAATGCACGAGTTTGACATATAAAAAAACAAGGATTTTAATAGTAACCAGCTATACAAATCCTTGCAAGAAACAAGGACTAATGAATAGACCACTCCATGGTTATTGCAGCCATATTGAATTTGGGCAGATTTTTACAATGGAGGTGAAAATGGTTTGAAAAATGACACAGAAAAATATCATTGAAACATAACAGTTGCTATGAAACATGCATGGCATTTCCCGTACTTTCATACTATTTCCCCCTCTTATCCAAAAAATCTGCCCCCATTCAATATGGTAAGCTGGTTATCGGCTGACTACTACACTTTGTTCATAGAATGTAGCGTAATACAAGCGGATTCCAGTTTATTCAATATGGCTGCAATAACCGTGGAGTTGCCTATTTATTAGTCCTTGTTTCTTGCAAGGATTTGTATAGCCTATAGGATTTGTATAGTAAGTCTTAGTTACAAAAAAATATTCTGATCCCCAATTTGATGAAAAAAAAAAAAATATATTGTGGTCAAGCAGATGACAAAAAAAAAATATTCTGAATTAAGATTTCCCCCATACCTTATAGTGTTAAATTTTGAAAAAAAACTAAAAATGTTTCCTCCCTTACTATTTATTAAAATCCTTGTTTTTTATATGTCAAACTCGTGCATTTTGACAAAAAAGGATACCGGTAGGGTAAACGAAAATTTGTTTGTATATATTGAATTAATTCCCCCTATTTATACTGTTTAAAAGTGTCCTTTTAGATTTTAAATTTATTAGTATAAATAAATTTTAAAAATTGTGTGACACATTTCAATACACATACAGAGTCTGTATGTGGTGTTCCATGAATGGAAGGATATCCATGCAATAGAAGAAGAAGAAGATACATAATTATCAAGCCAGCATGGATAATTAAAACGTATACGTACAGATTTAATATACATTTTGCTTTTCTTGAAATTTCCCGCTATGTAATCTTCTGTCACATGATAGCAGGTGCCCGTTATCGTGCGCATGCTTGAACATTTCATTCATTTCCGTTGGGCGAGGTCCTCTGCGTCATACGTGATAAAAGTGAAGAAATTTTCGTCGCCTTCTCGAAGCCGACAAGAAGATGAGTGACGATAACCCTACCAACGATTCCGTTTCTGACAACAAGCCCCATTTTGAGCTGTACATTAAGGTTTGTAATGCCAAAATTTGCAATCTTCGTCTTAGTTTTGGCGCAAGTTTTTGCTCTTACATTTCGGAACACATCTTTTTCAAGATGTTTATCCTTAGTTGATTTTATTTGCAATGCTGTTAAAAATTTATTAATTGTTTAAAACGTTTCTCATATTTGAATTTTTGAGATTGTTTTGCTTTCAATTAGGATGAAAATCACCTGTCTACTCGACATATTCCGTACATAGGTAGCTTGTTCACAGGTGTTTATCCCCCTTTTGAGGGTGCAGCGGGTGCTTATATTATTTAATGATGAAACATGTTTGCCATATATAGATAAACAAATCACTGCAGATATTGTCATAATCGAAATCAATAATATTTGAAATATTGATGAGTAATGTACATGCATGTACAACGTATATTACAGCATGCTGGGCATAATTATTTGTTTTGACATTTAAAAGCTTAAGGTACTATTAAATATAAGGTTAACAGATTATAAAGCAATATACACAGGAGGTCAAATGGAAGAGTTATTGTTCATTAATTACATACATGTGTTATGGTTACTGCTTGTTATTGTCACTTGAAAGAAGGACGAAAGAAAACCAGAGGGACAGTTAAACTGCTCAGTCTTTCATTTTAATTTGCATTAATATTTACAGAGAAAAGGTTTATGTATGTATAAAGAATATTTAAATGAAACAATTATCATTTGTTTTTGGTTTTCAGGCATCTGTTAGAGATGGTGAAAGTAAAGGATCGTGTCCCATTTGTCAACAATGGTTCATGGTGGCCCATCTTTTGGCGGAAAAGTCAGATGTTCATTTCCAAGTTTACACGGTCCCAGCTAACAATTTACCAGAATCATTCAAGGCTAAAACCATGAGCAAGACATTTCCAATTGTAATAGGTGTTCAGGGACGTGACACAAAAGGACAGGATATTTCAAACTGTGTGTTCGATGATGCTGATGAAGTAGAGAAATTCTTTGAAAGTGTTAATGTCAGTCGACCATTGCTGAAAAGAACAGAAGCTAAGAATCAGCTCGCCCTTAGACATGTTGAAGATTTATATAAAGTTAGTAGGACTGTATTAAAGATAAGAAGATGTGGTATGATTGACAATGAGACAACTCCACCAGAGACCCAAAAGATGTAGAAGCTAGCAACTATACATTGTAGGTCAACATAAGACCATCAACAATTGTGCAAAGCCAATTTTATTGAACCAATATTTGAACATGTGGAAATTTTATTCTGCAATTGAGCATTTTGATTCTGCTATTTATGAATGAAAGGAAATGCTGTGTACTACAATGAGACAGCAAAACAATTTAAATAAAAAAAAATCTAATGGTCAACATACACATTTTTTATACGACCGCAAAAAAATTTTTGGGATCGTATAATGGTATGATGTCATCCTCCTCCTCCGAAGACACATTGGTTTCCGGACAATAACTTTAGTTTATAATTAAGTGAATGGATCTCAATGAAATTTTTAAAGAAGGTTCAATACCACAATAGGAAGGTTGGGATTGATTTTGGGGATGATGGTCCCATGGCCAACTGTTTAGGAATTAGGGGCCCAAAACAAGCATTTTTCTAGTTTCAGGATAATAACTTGTGTATAAGTATTTCGATTGCTCTGAAATTGTACCACAATGTTTAATACCACAAGTAGAAGATTGGGATTCATTTTAGGGGTAATGGGGCCAACAGTTTAGGAATTAAGGGCCAAAAAGGGGCCAAAAACAAGCATTTTTCTAGTTTCCAGACAATCACTTGTGTGTAAGTGTATGGATCTTTCTGACATTGTACCACAAGGTTCCATATAACAAAGGGAAGGCTGGGATTGAGTTTGGGGTTAATTGCCCCAAACATGTAGGAATTAGGGGCCAAAAACAAGCATTTTTCTAGTTTCCAGACAATAAATTGTGTGTAAGTGTATGGATCTCTCTGAAATTGTACTACAAGGTTCCATACTACAAAGGAAAAGCTGGGATTGAGTTTTGGGGTTATTGCTCCAAGGGGGGTTTCAAAAAGTGGGGGGGGGGGGGGGGATTTTTTTCCCAATTTTTTTAAAGGATTCATATTTTTTTTCAAATTTTTTTAAATTTGTGAATTTTTGAAAAGTTTCAAGAAGAAATCTTCAATTGCACAGTATTGCGCAATGGATTTATAAGATCTTTGACCACATTTATTTTGTGTCAGAAACCTATATTATGTAAAAAAATTTATCACAATCCAAATTCAGACAGTATCTGAAGCTTGAATATTGTGTCCAAATTTGCCCCAACTGTTCAGGGTTCGACCTCTGCAGTCGTATCAAGCTGTGCTCAGCGAAGCATTTTATTATATGCATGTACATTGTACATATTTGAAGCCCCAAAAAAATGTATAATTTAATAGTGGACTATATATATACAGATATATATAGCTATATTGTATGAAAAGGATGCCATCAACACCAAATTCCCTAAATAACAAAAACTTTAAAATATATGGCTGTGACAGGGTTAACTAGTCTTTTTCATGTACATGTATATTAAATGTTATACTGTAGTCCATTTAATTTGTTGATCTGTCAACAGTTCGTACAAAACTCAAATTTTGTTTAACCAATTCTAATGAAATTTTAACACAGCATTACATGTAGAATTAACTTTTGATTTAAATGACTCCTATTTTGTCATTCCAAAGATGTAGGACTTTCCCTTAAAAAAAATTGACATTTAGTCAAATATTGTTCAATAACCGAACTTTGCTGTAATAATTCTATGGAACTCTTATTACCTGTGGACCTCAAATTGATCAAACTAAGAAAGATGCCATCAATTTTCACTTTTGTCATTCAAGAGTTATGGGACTTTATTCACATATTTGACACTAACTGCTTGTCTATTTTTTTTTTTTTAAATAGACTATACCTTTATTTTATAACTATAACACACAAGATACCCAACTAACAATTTTGAGAAATGACATTCTGTCACAAACTTTCATTATATTTTGATTCCCCATTGTCTATATCCCACTGAAACTTGTAATGTCGTAAATCTGCAGTGAATTAACTACAAAATGATGTACATGTAGGACATTCTTATTTCTGTTGTCAGAATCATTCATAGCTGTCCTAAGTGGGTCAACTGTAAATTATTAAATTTTCTCACAGCAAAATGGCAATGTTAAGTTGATTGTTAAGATGTATTTCTAAATCTGTCATGCCTATTATTCACTTTTTATTATTTATTATTAAAATCTGTCACAAATCAAGATTTTGAATGTTACAAAGTACTTTTTGGATGAGAGAGCCAACTTGCTTGTTACATGTATCTAAATATAATGATATTGAGATAGATTAATCCACAGCTACGTATATATACATGTACATGTAATGCCGGATGATATGATGTTTTTCATTGACAAGGCCTTCAGTTGTCAATGAAGCCTATATAAAGCATTAGAACACAACACCTGTAATGTCCGTGTTACTTTGTTTCCCTTCTATTACTTTAGTTTGCCTAAACCAAATGTTTTGAAACCTGTGCACAATGCTTATTACCACCAAACACTGATCATGTTTGAATTTGGGTGGTGTCATTTTCAATACTCTTGAGTCATGTCCCTTTATAATGGGAAAATTGTGAAATTTGTCATTTACGCACTAATTTTAGTTTGCCTCAACCTAATGTTAGAAAACTTATGCACAATGCTCATTACCACCAAACACAGATCAAGTTCTTATATGGGTGGCGTCACTTTCAACATTCTTGAGTTATATATATGTCCCTTTATAAATTGAAAAAATGCTAATTTTGCTATTTTCACAATCTTACTTTAGTTTGTCTCAACCAAATATTATAAAACTTATACACAATGCTTATTACCACCAAAAACAGATCAAGCTTGAATTTGTGCTGTGTCACTTTCACTGTTTTCCAGTTATCTCCCTATATAAATTGGAAAATTGATGAATTTGCAGTATATTTACAAGCAGGACATAATTATGTGTCCTATCGATACATTTTCTTTTATTTGTACAATACACTGATTGGCCAATATTATACAGGTGCATGAATATCTAAAAGTAAATTTGTTCAAGTTTAAAAGTGTCACCAGGTTAATTACATGTGATGATTGAGTCTCCACAATTTTTAACTACATGTACTGTTTATGTCAATCACTACTGGTTTATAAATGTACATGTAACTGTACAATCCCAAAGTCTTCTACAGAAAATACTGACTTCCTTGAAATCATACAAATATATCGAAAGAAGAGTTAAATGCTAAGGGCTATTCCATATAAATGTATGTGGGAGGGTAGGAATTTGAAGGGAAGTTTAATTATTGACTGTGAGTCATGGTTTTTTTTTTAGTATGTGTCTATTACCATTATGCAAAATTATCTAAAAAATGGTTCTTGGTCGTAGGGATATTTTGAAAGTCCTTTCCTACCCTCCCACATACATTTTAATGGAATAGCCCTAATTTGATCTACATTTGTGTACATGTGTACTAAAGCATTTTCAAATAGATTATTCTGCTTGTGAATTACCTACATGTACATCATGTACATGTACATGTATATTGTATCATTTGTTGGGCAATGTATTTTATTTGAAATGTTTCTCAATGGTAAATGTTGGTGTTTGTGTTTTGGGGCATTAATACAATGTATCCCAAATCAGTGAAAGATCAACAGTGGGAACAGTTGATGATTCACTTTGAAATATACAATGTACATGTATTCAAAAGATTATGCATGTACATGTATATGATTGGGTTGAAATTCAGAGGTTTTCTCAACTTCATTCACCAGCAATCTCCCTATTCTATAGTGATCACCCAACACAAGAAAGAGTGATATCGACTGAATCCCGTTATGTGTAGACATCAATACACATGTACAAAAGTACATACAATGAAGGCATGTATTTTACACATCATATCAATGTTAAAATTATTTTTCTTTGTATTTTTCAGAAATTTAATTTATTTCTACAAAATTCTAATGATAATGGTACAAAGTTGACGCAACAATTGAAAAACGTCGATGGCTTTTTGGGAGAAATGGAAACAACTTTTCTGTGTGGATCTACAATTTCCTATAGTGATACAGTATTACTGTCACGACTTCAGCATATCAGAGTGGCTGGAAAGGTAAGAATTATTTATTGAATCACAAATTTACACTAGATGTGTGAAAAATTTTATAGGATCACACATATACAGTAAATGTGAGATATACATGTATACATAGGTTTTAAAAAATGTTTGCAGGTCACATGTACTTGTATTCGATTGATTGTTGCTTGCTTTACAGTGGCAAATATTTCATGCATGTTCAGGACGAGAACACATTAGCATTGAATAAAGCAGGTAGGTCCTGTAATAGGGGTCAACCAGGAAGGAGGGCAGGGAAATTGGAATGTCATAGTAGAGTGGGTTAATCGAATAAGGCAGAAATTGAGCCTTGAAACAAGCCACTAAGGAACCTGTGAAGGGGTTTTTGTAAGGGCTATTTAACGTGCAGAGAGCTTGGCACACACTATATGAGGCATACAATTTAATGTCCCCATTCTGATTGAAGTGGATGCAAATATTATCATCCCAAACACCAAAAAAGACACCCCAAGTTGGCACTGGTTTTACTGTCATGGCAAGGGTTTTATCGCCAATGAAAATATACAGAATAAAGAACAATGCTTTAGAAATGGAATGATAAACAATGCTTTTAGATCAATATCTTTATATATCATTTTCAGGCATACAGAGGTTACGAGATCCCTAAAGAATTGAAGAGTCTGTGGCGGTATCTCAGCACTGCTTACCAAACCAAAGCTTTTATTCAAACACTACCATCAGATCAGGACATTAAATTGCATTATGAAACTAAAGCAACTACCAAATTAGAAAAGACAATAAAATTGGAAGGAACCTCATACACAACAGACGTTGATCCAGAATGCTTGAACGGTGAAGTTGAGCAGCAGAATGGGGATGAATGAAAACTTATATTTATGCTTCAAATAGTGTGATAAACTATATTCCATTGTTACCCCATCAACTGATTTGCTAGCCAAAGGGGGATAATTCTTGTGGAATCACACATTCATCTGCGATGAATTCTAATGATGTATAAAAATTATTATATGGAAATGATTTGTTATTAATGTTTAATAAATGGAAGGATATTTTATATTTGGTGTAATGGAAGCTGTCACTAAGTACATTTTGTTATACTAACTTCCAAAACTTTCTTAATTGTGGGAGAAAGGGGGGGGGGGGGAATGAATTGTTGCAATAAATGTCTTCCTCATATTTTTTTGTTACTATAAATTTGCCAATGGATAAATTAAACTTTCTCTGATACAAATAAATCTCAATACCTCATTAAAAATGTAAAATCCAGAATATTTTTGAATTACTACTAGTCTAGTCACTATATAAATTAGCGTAAAAGGGAGGTTATTCATTGCATGTAATATAAGCTGGTTATTCAGGGTCTTGAGACTATTTCTGCATTGTTTTCTGGGCTATGTTATTAAACAAATGTTAAAAGCTAAAACTTGAAATTATCTTTTTCTAAATGAAAAATGCAAACAAGGAAAGATAACCTTCAGAAGTAATTGTATAGTAAAGGGAGAAAACTCTTTTTCATTTTGTTAAATTTTTAAGATGGGTCTCTTCTATTGTTATGTTTTTATTATTTTTGCAAAGTTACGTTATTGTTTAAAGTTATGTACAGTACAGGCAAAGTGGTTCAGTTAAATGAATGCTTTGTGATGGCAGATTTTTCCATTTTGAGATATCTGTTTCTTCAGTGCGACAGGGTTGGCAAATGAATGGTATCACTAGTAATTACACTGTTTCACAGTGGTAACCTTGCTTAAGCATGAATGATTTTTAACAGAATCAAATGAGTGTTATCACTAGCAGTTACATTAATTCACAGTAGTAAACTTGACAATAGCAAGCATGATTTAACTGAACCACTAAGCAGTGTGTACTGTAGTATTGTATGTGTGTAAAATATATTCATGATATTGTTAATATTGCTGTGTTAGCATGAAACAGGTGCCTTTCTTATTTCATATCATTGAGTGGTCTCGCCATATTTATACATCATGGATGGTTCTAAAAATGGATGGACTTTTCTACCTTTTAATCTCATTCCAGGATGATGAGATGTAGTGGAGAAATTTCTTGAAGTTTGAAAGACCATTGATAATTTGTTAATCGCTATTTTCCCAGGAAACCTCAATGACGTGGGGTTTGGCTGACATCATTGCATTCTCTTTTAACATCTCAGTCAAGTAGCCTGAAATGGAAAATTATAGAAAAATTTAAGATCGATTCAAAATTTGAGAAAATAGTGATGGAATTAGTTAATGTAAAATTTTACTTTAATAAAAAAAATTAAATGACTAAATTTTACTTTGATAATAGAAAAAAAATGACTTAACACTTTCTGATATCTCATTAAATAATTAATTTAATGATTTGCCTTCAACTGTGCCTTAACAAAAAAATGCAAAGCTTGATAGGAAAGATCTGAAATCCACCAGTACTTTTTTATATAAACAAGACCAGCAGTGAAAAGTGTTAAGAGTAAAATCGGAGAAAAAAAGTCAATAAGATCTGAAAAAAAAAGAAATAATGCAGAAATACACAAAAATTTTATGTTCTTAAAATTTAGCACAAACATTGTCTATATGTGTTATATTGACTAATTTCTGAAGGTCTGCATTTATCAATTAGTTTCTCTCTTGTTTCCCAGTGAATTCCTGCTATTGTTAATCTTGATATTTGTATTACTATTTCTTCATAATTCAAGGTTAAACAGTTTTAGTAAAGTCATTTCTGGAAAGTTTAAAATGAATTAAATTTTTAAAGTGCCATAAATTTCGAAGTTTTATTTTGACAGAATGTAAAAATAATATCTTGTCATACGAGACCACTTCATGTTAGTATATTTAGAAACAGAATTTATGTAAATATTTTGCAATTATTTATATGTATTCTAAGGAAAGCCATTTATATAATCAGCATTTTAGTTAGTATTTTATGTTGAAATATATGGGAAACTGTTACCCTAATACATAGAATAAATAATTTACAAGTCTATACATACAGTTGATTTTTTTTGGTGAAACTATTGATCCTTTAATATTTATTTCTTTTTTTTTTTACAAACTATTCAATTCAGCATGATATTTTCTTCTGATTAATTAAAATTGAGAGACTAGAATTCTTCCAATTATCTAGTAGTTCAACATTTAGCTATTGCAATGCGTTAATATTTCACAATAGCATTCAGACATTTAGTTTACTTACAAGAGTGATTCCCCCTTTTGTTTTGTTATCTCCCTTGCTCTACAGCTTGGGTGCATTTGTCATTTCTTCATGTCCATTGATGTAGTAGGACTGAATAGTAAAAACTTGTAGCGGGTCTCCTATATTAATCTTTTGGTGAAAGCAAGCCATTTCTTTTATTAATTACAATACTTGCATATACAATATGCCATAGGGAAAAGCAAATTAATTTTTTCCAAAATTTAAGGAGTGCTAATGGTGATCATGGCGTGCAAGTGAAAATGACAAAATTCATCTGAACTATAACGTTAGTCGCAGATTTTGTGTAAATAATAGACTTAAACGCAAATAACTTAATAAAAAGTTTTCAACATTGGCAATATTTCATAAAACTTGAATTCATTCATATTGTAAATTTAAATGCAAAATTACTTGTAGATGTTTGATTCAATGCCAACTTGCCATTTACTTATTAAAATAAAATTTTATGATCTCGGAACTTATTTAAATTAACAGTATAGACAAAATAATTGAATTTGGGGGAGTAACAGGCTGAAATACTCTATCTATTTATAGAAATTTATTTTTATTTTATTTTCGTTCTTATAAGATTTTACCTTTATATTATTTTTGCATGCAATACTATTCATTTCCTAGCAGCATTTAAACTTGTGTTTAGTAAAGCTCAAAATCTGATCTGGAAGCAACACCAAAATGTTATTTTGCATGCTGTAAGTGACATTTTTTATTTCATTTACTTTTTGATATCTGATCAGATTACAGAACGTTTTGTCTGCTTACTTTTCTGCAATTAATTTTTAGAATTACTTTATTTACATGCCAACAAGCCATATTGTACAATTGGTAGAAAATGTAAAGAAGTGTGGATGTACACAAAAGTATAGTACACAATTTGCTGTAATGGATAAATAATTGAAATAATAAATTGAAATACAAGCAAATCACATCAATTTATTTATTTATATATATACTTGATTTTAACTATTAAATTAAAAATATGATGTGGCTTAATAAAACAATGTATTGATGAAAATCTGGATCTAAGCAGATATCACAATTTCTCTAGCATTTCAAACATGGCCTTCAAGGACATAACATGACCTATATTTTGTAACCATAGCAAAATGTAACTGATGTAAATTTTATATTCTGATAGTTTTGGCGTAATATTGTCAAGCCAGTATATAGCTTAAAAATAAAGATATGTAAATAGATATGTGTTATCCTGTAAGCCTATCTGTTTTGATAAAACACTGGAACAAAGTATTTGAAAGTTAAATTGGGATATTTCAAGGTTTTTCAGTTACAACATTTTTTTGTACTTTACCAATCTCATTAGAGCTTAGTTAACATCTAGACCTTGGTAAGCATGCTTAATTTTTATACGACCGCAAAAATTAAAAAAATTTTTGGTCGTATATTGGTATGACGTTGGCGTCGTCGTCGTCGTTGTCGTCGTCGTCGTCGTCCGAAGACACATTGGTTTTCGCACTCTAACTTTAGTTTAAGTGAATGGATCTCCATGAAATTTCACCATAAGGTTCAATACCACAAAAGGAAGGTTGGGATTGATTTTGGGGGTTATGGTACCAACAGTTAAGGAATTAGGGGCCAAAAAGGGGCCAAAAATAAGCATTTTTGTAACTTTCAGACAATAACTTGTGTGTAAGTGTATGGATCTCTCTGACATTGTACCACAAGGTTCCATATCACAAAGGGAAGGCTGTAATTGATTTTGGGGGTAATTGCCTCAAAATTTTAGGAATTAGGGGCCAAAAAAGGGGCAAAAAACAAGCATTTTTCTAGTTTCATGACAATAACTTGTGTGTAAGTGTTTGGATATTTCTGAAATTGTACTACAAGGTTCCATATCACAAAGGGAAAGCTGGAATTGAGTTTGGGGGTAATTGCCCAAAAGGTTTAGGAATTGGGGGCCAAAAAGGGGCCAAAAATAAGCATTTTTCTAGTTTCCAGACAATAACTTGTGTTCAAGTGTATGGATCTCTCTGAAATTGTACTGCAAGGTACCATACCACAAAGGGAAGGCTGGGATTGAGTTTGGGGGTGATGAATCATAAGGGGGTTCAAAAAATTGGGGGGGGGGGGATTTTTTTTTTTTTTTTTTTTTCTTTTTTTCCTTTTTTTTATACGACCGCAAAAATTGAAAATTTTTTGGTCGTATATTGGTATGACGTTGGCGTCGTCGTCGTCGTCGTCGTCGTCGTCGTCGTCGTCGTCCGGCGTCGTCTGGCGTCGTCCGAAGACACATTGGTTTTCGCACTCTAACTTTAGTTTAAGTGAATGGATCTCCATGAAATTTTACCATAAGGTTCAATACCATGAAAGGAAGGTTGGGATTGATTTTGGGGGTTATGGTACCAACAGTTAAGGAATTAGGGGCCAAAAAGGGGCCAAAAATAAGCATTTTTGTAACTTCCAGACAATAACTTGTGTGTATGTGTATGGATCTCTCTGACATTGTACCACAAGGTTCCATATCACAAAGGGAAGGCTGTAATTGATTTTGGGGGTAATTGCCTCAAAATTTTAGGAATTAGGGGCCAAAAAAGGGGCAAAAAACAAGCATTTTTCTAGTTTCATGACAATAACTTGTGTGTAAGTGCTTGGATATTTCTGAAATTGTACTTCAAGGTTCCATATCACAAAGGGAAAGCTGGAATTGAGTTTGGGGGTAATTGCCCGAAACGTTTAGGAATTGGGGGCCAAAAAGGGGCCAAAAATAAGCATTTTTCTAGTTTCCAGACAATAACTTGTGTTCAAGTGTATGGATCTCTCTGAAATTGTACTGCAAGGTACCATACCACAAAGGGAAGGCTGAGATTGAGTTTGGGGTGATGAATCATAAGGGGGTTCAAAAAATTTTTGGGGGGGATTTCTTTTTTTCTTTTTTCCTTTTTTTTTTTCTTTTAAAATTTTCCATTTTAAGTTGGTTATTTCTGATTTATATTTAAAAGCAAATAATAATGATATGGTAGGAGATACACACCAAACAGGATGTGTAAATTATTATATTATAAGTATTGTGCAATAGCAAGAAATTTTCAATTGCACAGTATTGCACAATAGCAAGAAATCTTCAATTGCACAGTATTGCGCAATAGCAAGAAATCTTCAATTGCACAGTATTGCGCAATAGCAAGAAATATCCAATAGCACAATATTGCGCAATAGCAAGAAATTGTCAATTGTACAGTATTGCGCAATAGCAAGAAATAATCAATTTCACAGTATTGTGCAAAAGAAGATACTTCCTATAAATTGCTTATTTCTTGATCAATTTCAATAGGGTTTTATTCTTGAATTCTTGGGGTTCTTTAATATGCTGAATCTAACCGTGTATTAAGTTTTTGGATTTTGGGCCCCGTTTTTAAATTGGTCCACATTGAGGTCCAAAGGGTCCAAAATTTTACTTTGTTTGATTTCATCAAAAATTGAATTATTGGGGTTCTTTGATATGCCGAATCTAACCGTGTATTTAAATTCTTAATTTTTGGTTCTGTTTTCAAATTGGTCTACATAAAGGTCCAAAGGGTCCAAAATTAAACTTAGTTTGATTTCAACAAAAATTGAATATATGGGGTTCTTTGATATGCTGAATCTAACCGTGTATTTAGATTTTTGATTATGGGCCCAGTTTTCGAGTTGGTCCAAATCGGGGTCCAAAATTAAACTTTGTTTGATTTCAACAAAAATTGAATATATGGGGTTCTTTGATATGCTGAATCTAACCATGTATTTAGATTTTTGATTATGGGCCCAGTTTTCAAGTTGGTCCAAATCGGGGTCCAAAATTAAACTTTGTTTGATTTCAACAAAAATTGAATATATGGGGTTCTTTGATATGCTGAATCTAACCATGTATTTAGATTTTTGATTGTTGGGCCCCGTTATCAACTTTGTCCACATTGAGATCAAAAGGGTCCAAAATTAAACTTTGTTTGATTTCATCAAAAATTGAATATATGGGGTTCTTTGATATGCTGAATCTAACCATGTATTTAGATTTTTGATTATGGGCCCAGTTTTCAAGTTGGTCCAAATCGGGGTCCAAAATTAAACTTTGTTTGATTTCAACAAAAATTGAATATATGGGGTTCTTTGATATGCTGAATCTAACCATGTATTTAGATTTTTGATTATGGGCCCAGTTTTCAAGTTGGTCCAAATCGGGGTCCAAAATTAAACTTTGTTTGATTTCAACAAAAATTGAATATATGGGGTTCTGTAATATGCTGAATCTAACCGTGTATTAAGTTTTTGGATTTTGGGCCCCGTTTTTAAATTGGTCCACATTGAAGTCCAAAGGGTCCAAAATTTAACTTTGTTTGATTTCATCAAAAATTGAATTATTGGGGTTCTTTGATATGCCGAATCTAACCGTGTATTTAGATTCTTAATTTTTGGTTCTGTTTTCAAATTGGTCTTCATAAAGGTCCAAAGGGTCCAAAATTAAACTTAGTTTGATTTTAACAAAAATTGAATTTTTAGGGTTCTTTGATATGCTGAATCTAAACATGTATTTAGATTTTTGATTATGGGCCCAGTTTTCAAGTTGGTCCAAATCGGGGTCCAAAATTAAACTTTGTTTGATTTCAACAAAAATTGAATATATGGGGTTCTTTGATATGCTGAATCTAACCATGTATTTAGATTTTTGATTTTTGGGCCCTGTTATCATTTTTGTCCACATTGAGATCAAAAGGGTCCAAAATTAAACTTTGTTTGATTTCATCAAAAATTGAATTCTTGGGGTTCTTTGATATGCTGAATCTAACCATGTATTTAGATTTTGGATATTGGACCATAATAGGTGAATGTCCAATTTAAAATTTTTAAGTTCTTAGACCACATTCATTCTGTGTCAGAAACCTATGCTGTGTCAAATATTTAATCACAATCCAAATTCAGAGCTGTATCAAGCTTGAATGTTGTGTCCATACTTGCCCCAACTGTTCAGGGTTCGACCTCTGCGGTCGTATCAAGCTGCGCCCTGCGGAGCATTTTATTTTCTTTTAAAATTTTCCATTTTAAGTTGGTTATTTCTGATTTATATTTAAAAGCAAATAATAATGATATGGTAGGAGATACACACCAAACAGGATGTGTAAATTATTATATAATAAGTATTGTGCAATAGCAAGAAATTTTCAATTGCACAGTATTGCACAATAGCAAGAAATCTTCAATTGCACAGTATTGCGCAATAGCAAGAAATCTTCAATTTAACAGTATTGCGCAATAGCAAGAAATATCCAATAGCACAATATTGCGCAATAGCAAGAAATTGTCAATTGTACAGTATTGCGCAATAGCAAGAAATATTCAATTGCACAGTATTGTGCAAAAGAAGATACTTCGTATAAATTGCTTATTTCTTGATCAATTTCAATGGGGTTTTATTCTTGAATTCTTGGGGTTCTTTAATATGCTGAATCTAACCGTGTATTAAGTTTTTGGATTTTGGTCCCCGTTTTTAAATTGGTCCACATTGAGGTCCAAAGGGTCCAAAATTAAACTTTGTTTGATTTCATCAAAAATTGAATTATTGGGGTTCTTTGATATGCCGAATCTAACCGTGTATTTAGATTTTTAATTTTGGGTCCCGTTTTTTAAATTTGTCTACATTAAGGTCCAAAGGGTCCAAAATTAAACTTAGTTTGATTTTAACAAAAATTGAATTCTTAGGGTTCTTTGATATGCTGAATCTAAACATGTGTTTAGATTTTTGATTATGGGCCCAGTTTTCAAGTTGGTCCAAGTTGGGGTCCAAAATTAAACTTTGTTTGATTTCAACAAAAATTGAATATATGGGGTTCTTTGATATGCTGAATCTAAACATGTATTAAGATTTTAGATTTTTGGCCCAGTTTTCAAGTTGGTCCAAATTGGGGTCCAAAATTAAACTTTGTTTGATTTCAACAAAAATTGAATATATGGGGTTCTTTGATATGCTGAATCTTACCATGTATTTAGATTTTTTATTTGTGGGCCCGCTATCAAATTGGTTCATATTGAGGTCAAAAGGGTCCAAAATTAAACTTTGTTTGATTTCATCAAAAATTGAATTATTGGGGTTCTTTGATATGCCAAATCTAACCGTGTATTTAGATTTTTAATTTTGGGTCCTGTTTTTTAAATTGGTCTACATTAAGGTCCAAAGGGTCCAAAATTAAACTTAGTTTGATTTTAACAA